TTAGATATTTTCTCCTACTAGGTTTTATCCACGTGCAATGCACGTTGTTAAATATCATGATTAAGTATATTTGGCTTATTTTCTAATTAAAATTTGTTCCTAAGTTCTACTTTAATAGTTTATGCTCATTTTTGTCTTTGAACTTTAATATTACGATTAGATATTTTCTCCTACTAGGTTTTATCCACGTGCAATGCACGTTGTTAAATATCATGATTAAGTATATTTGGCTTATTTTCTAATTAAAATTTGTTCCTAAGTTCTACTTTAATAGTTTATGCTCATTTTTGTCTTTGAACTTTAATATTACGATTAGTTATTTTCTTTGATATTTGTTTAAATGAGCTACACCCAATTTAAATTTTCATGTTATATTTGAATTGATAGAAAACAAATATAATTTGAAGCTAATTTCAATTTTTATATTACTTTGACTTACATGAAACCAATCCTTACTTGAGAAAGTACAGTGTTGCAAAAGTAAAAAATATAATATTAAAACAGTGTTATACAAGGAAGGTGAATATTTACAACCAATAAGGCAAAATAACTGCTTGAAAGTATGCTTAAACGATACAAAATAGAATATAAAGTTTATTCCTAATCATTTAGCCTTCATAAAAAATTATAAATTAAAGATTAATGCTAATTCTAGTATACTTTCAAATGATAAAAGTATCTGACAAGCATATAAAAGTACTAAAAAAAGCTCATCAAACTCTCATCTAAAGATTTCTAAATTCACTCAAAATAATTAAACTATTCTATAAAATATTCAGAAAACATTATATTTTATTCCTTCTGTTTTATTTTTTTACTGAGCTAATATCAATCATTCCTCACATTTATCTTTTTCCCGGGTAATTCTATAGTAGTATCTTCATCATCTACTCGATTGTAACATAAGGCTAGAGTTGTACTTTTTATACTGTTATCGTTCCTGGCTCGTTAATCTTTTATCTTGTTGTTTAACTTCACAAAAAAGTTAAATATATTTCTGATATTCAACACAAATTTCTTGAAATACAGGCTGTGACGCCCCTGGGTTCACACAAGGCTGCAGTCCAAGGTGATACCAAGAATGTCAAACCTGTCATGCACCACACCGTGCAATAACATATTTCACCATCACAATTAACATCTATCTAGTAGAGTCAACAATAGGCGTAGGTACAAAAGCAAGTAAAATATAATACAAGAAACAACTGATGAAATGATAGTGATCACATTAATATTTCATCATCCAACATACAAAAATACATAGTCAATGTCTGAACAGATAAACTAGAATACTCAACAAGTCTCAAATACAAATATATGACAAGAGGAAATAAGGCACACAGCCTTTACAACTTCTAGAATAAGACTCTCAAATGTCTAAACAAAAGTCTACTGTGGAACTCCAAAAGAAAATATAACTAAGTAGACAGCTGAAGCTAAAATGCATCGCCATCAACCTGCGACTCTCCGGGCTCCTGGCTCGTTACCTGAAAGGGGGAGGGACAACGAGCGTCAAAGCGCTAGCAAGTAACATCACAACCAACCCTAAGGGAACAGGGCTCGTTGTATAAGAAAATACAAATAATACATAATAGATCTAAAATCATTGATCTTACTAAAG